GTTTATCAATTTTGTTTATCTTCTGAAAGAACGAGCTTTTAGTTTTATTGATCTTTGCTATCATTTCCTTCATTTCTTTTTCAGTTATTTCTGATCTGATCTTTATGATTTCTTTCCTTCTGCTAACATTCTGGGCTTTTTGTTCTTCTTTCTATAATTGCTTTAGGCGTAAGTTTAGGTTGTTTATTTGAGAGGTTTCTTGTTTCTTAATGTTGTATTGTATTGCTATAAACTTCCCTTTAAAATTGCTTTTGCTACATCCCATTGGTTTTGCGTCATCGTGTTTTCATTGTCATTTTTTTCTAGGTATTTTTTGATTTCCTCTTTGATTTCTTCAGTGATCTCTTGGTTAATAAGTAGTGTATTGTTTAGCTTCTGTGTGATTTTATTTTTTACAGATTTTTTCCTGTAATTGATATCTAGTCTCATAGCGCTGTGGTTGGAAAAGATAGTTGGTTCCATTTCAATTTTCTTCAATTGATCAAGGCTTTATTTGTGAGACAAGATATGATCTATAATGGAGAATGTTCCACGAGCACTTGAGAAGAAAGTTTATTCTGTTATTTTTGGGTGGAATGTCCTATAAATATGAATTAAGTTCATTCTGTTTAAAGTTTCATTTAAAGCTTGTGTTTCCTTTTCTATTTTCATTTTGGATAATCTGTCCATTGGTGAAAGTGGGGGTTAAACTTCCCTACTATGATTGTGTTACTGTTGATTTCCCCTTTTATGGCTGTTAGTATTTGCCTTATGTATTGAGGTGCTCCTATGTTGGGTGCATAAATAGTTACATTTTTAAAAATCTTCTTCCTGGATTGAAACCTTGATCTTTATGTAGTGTTCTTCTTTGTCTCTTGTAATAGTCTTTGTTTTAAAATCTATTTTGTCTGATATGAGAATCTCTAATGCAGCTTTCTTCTGATTTCCATTTGCATGGAATATTTCTTCATCCCCTCACTTTCAGTCTGTATGTGTCCCTAGGTTGGATGTGGGTGTGTTGTAGACAGCATATATACCAGTCTTCTTTTTGTATCTATTCAGCCAGTCTGTGTGTTTTTGTTTGATCCTTTAATCCATTTACATTTAAGGTAAGGATCAATATATATGCTCCTATTACCATTTTCTTAATTGTTTTAGGTTTGCTGTTTTAAGTCTTTCCCTTCTCTTGTGTTTCCGGCCTAGAGAGTTGCCTTTAGCATTTCTTGTAAAGCTGGTTTTGTGCTGCTGAATTCTCTTAGCTTTTGCTTGTTTTAAAGGTTTTAATTTCTCCATCAAACCTGAATGAGATCCTTGCTGGGTAGAGTAATCTTTGTTGCAGGTTTTTCTTCTTCATCACTTTAAATATGTCCTGCCACTCCCTTCTGGCTTGCAGACTTTCTGCTGAAAGATCATCTGTTAACCTTATGGGGATTCCCTTGTGTGTTATTTGATGTTTTTCCCTTGCTGCTTTTAATATGTTTTCTTTGTATTTAATTTTTGACTGTTTGATTAATATGTGTCTTGGTGTGTGTCTTATTGGATTTATCCTGTGTGGAACTCTCTGTACTTCCTGGACTTGATTAACTATTTCCTTTCCCACATTAGGGAATTTTTCAACTATAATCTCTACAAATATATCTCAGTTCCCTTCTTTTCTCTTCTTCTTCTGGGACCCTTATAATTCGAATGTTGGTGCATTTAATGTTGTCCCAGAGGTGTCTGAGACTGTCCTCAATTCTTTTCATTCTTTTTTTCTTTATTGTGCTCTGCCGTAGTTATTTCCACTATTTTATCTTTCAGGCCACTTATCCGTTCTTCTGCCTCAGTTATTCTGCTATTGATCCCTTCTAGAGGACTTTTAATTTCATTTATTTTGTTGTTTATGACTGTTTGTTTGTTCTTTACTTCTGCTAGGTCCTTGTTAAACGTTTCTTGTATTTTCTCCTTTCTATTTTGAAGATTTTCAATCATCTTTGCTATCATTTTTCTGAATTCTTTTTCAGGTAGAATGCCTATTTCCTCTTCATTTGTTAGATCTGGTTGTTCTAAGAGGGAAGTTTATAGCAATACAATCCTACCTTAAGCAACAGGAAACATCTTGAATAAACAACCTAACCTTGAACCAAAAGGAATTAGAGAAAGAAGAACAAAAAAATCCCAAAGTTAGCAGAAGGAAAGAAATCATAAAAATCAGATCAGAAATAAATGAAAAAGAAATGAAGGAAACAGTAGCAAAGATCAATAAAACTAAAAGCTGGTTCTTTGAGAAGATAAACAAAATTGATAAAACATTAGCCAGACTCATTAAGAAAAAGAGGGAGAAGACTTAAATCAATAGAATTAGAAATGAAAAAGGAGATGTAACAACTGACACTGCAGAAATACAGTAGATCATGAGAGATTAATACAAGCAACTCTCTGCCAATAAAGTGGACAACCTGTAAGAAATGGACAAATTCTTAGAAATGCACAACCTGACAAGACTGAATCAGGAAGAAGTAGAAAATATGAACAGACCAATCACAAGCACTGAAATGGAAACTGTGATTAAAAATCTTCCAACAAACAAAAGCCCAGGACCAGATTTCTTCACAGGCGAATTCTATCAAACAATTAGAGAAGAGCTAACACCTATCCTGCTCAAACTCTTCCAAAACATAGCAGAGGGAGGAATACTCCCAAACTCATTCTACGAGGCCACCATCACCTTGATACCAAAACCAGACAAGGATGTCACAAAGAAAGAAACCTACAGGCCAATATCACTGATGAACATAGATGCAAAAATCCTCAACAAAATACTAGCAAACAGAATCCAACAGCACATTAAAAGGATCAGAAACCATGATCAAGTGGGGTTTATTACAGGAATGCAAGGATTCTTCAGTATTCACAAATCAATCAACGTGATACACCATATTAACAAATTGAAGGAGAAAAACCATATCATCTTCTCAATAGATGCAGAGAAAGCTTTCGAGAAAATTCAACTCCCATTTATGATAAAAACCCTGCAAAAAGTAGGCATAGAGAGAACTTTCCTCAACATAATAAAGGCCATATATGACAAACACACAGCTTACATCGTCCTCAATGGTGAAAAAGTAAAAGCATTTCCACTAAGATCAGGAACAAGACTAGGTTGCCCACTCTCACCACTCTTAATCAACATAGTTTTGGAAGTTTTAGCCACAGCAATCAGAGAAGAAAAGGAAATAAAAGGAATCCAAATCAGAAAAGAAGAAAGAAAGCTGTCACTCTTTGCAGATGACATGATACTATACATAGAGAATCCTAAAGATGCGACTAGAAAACTACTACAGCTAAACAATGAATTTGGTAAAGTAGCAGGATACAAAATTAATGCACAGAAATCTCTGGCATTCCTATGCCCTAATGATGAAAAATCTGAAAATGAAATCAAGAAAACACTCCCATTTACCATTGCAACAAAAAGAATTAAGTATCTAGGAATAAAACTTCCTATGGATACAAAACACCTGTATGCAGAAAATTATAAGACACTGATGAAAGAAATTAAAAATTTTGCCTTGCTCCTTCATCTGCTGAGTGTTTCTCTGTCTTCTCATTTTTCTTAAATTACTGTGTTTGTGGCTCTCCTTTTTGCAGGCTGCAGGTTCATAGATCCTGCTGTTTTTGGTGTCTGTCCCCAGTGGCTAAGTTTCGTTCAGTAGGTTGCCTATGCTTCGTAGTGGAGGGGACTAGCGCCTGTGTTCTGGTGGATAAGGCTGGATCTTGTCTTTCTGGAGGGCAGGTCCACTTCTGGTAGTGTGTTTTGGGGTTTCTGTGGCCTTATCATGGTTTTAGTCAGCCTCTCTTCTTATGGATGGGGTTTATTCCTGTCTTGTTGTTGTTTGGCACAGGGTGTACATCACTGTAGCTTGCTGGTCGTTGAGTGGGGATGGGGCTTGGTGTTTAGATGGAGATCTTTTGGAGATTTTCACCATTTGATATTATGTGGAGCTGGGAGGTCTCTTATGGACCAGTCTCTTGTACTTGGCTCTCCCACCTCAGAGGCACAGTCCTGATGCCTGGCTGGAGCACCAAAAGCCTGTCATCCACACAGCTCAGAATAAAAGGGAGGAAAAAAAGAAAGAAGAAGGGAAAATAAAATAAAGTTATAAAGTTAATTAGTAAAAAAAAATTAAGTAATAAAAAATAATATAGAAAGAAAGAAGAGAGGAACCAAACCAAAAAACAAATCCACCAATAATAACAAGTGCTAAAAGCTATACTAAAAAAAACAAACAAACAGACAGACAGAACCCTAAGACAAATGGTAAAAACAAAGCCATACAGACAAAATCACACACAGAAGCATACACATACACACTCACAGAAAGAGAAAAAGGGAAAAATAGTATATTGTTGCTCCCAAATCCACCTCCCCAATTTGGGATGATTCATTGTCTATTCAGGTATTCCAAAGATGCAGCGTACATCAAGTTGTATGTGGAGATTTAATCCGCTGCTCCTGAGTCTCCTGGGAGAAATTTTCCTTTCTCTTCTTTATTCGCACAGGTCCCAGTGTTCATCTTTGTACCTGGCCCCGCCTCACAGTGTAGGTCGCCTGACAGCATCTGTTCTTAACTCAGGCAGGACGGGGTAAAGGGAGAAGCTACTTCGGTGGCTCTGGCTCACTGAGGCCGGGGTGAGGGAGTGGTATGGAATCAGGGGCGAGCCTGCGGTGGCAGAGGCTGGCGTGACGTTGCACCAGTGTGAGGCATGCCCTGTGTTCTCCCGGGGAAACTTTCCCTGAATCATGTGACCCTGGCAGTGGCCGGCTGCACAGGCTCCCGGGAGGGAGGTGTGGATAATGACCTGTGCTTGCTCACAGACTTCTTGGTGGCTGCAGCAGCTGCCTTGGCATCTCGTGCCCATCTCTGTGGTCCATGCTGATAGCTGTGGCTTGTGCCCATCTCTGGAGCTTGTTTAATCGGCGATCTTAATCCCCTCTCCTCCCGCATTGTGAAACAAACAGGCAAGAAAAAGTCTCTTAATTGTGTTCACTGCCGCCACCACACCACTGTCACTCTCTGATGCCAGCGCCGCCTCTAGCTCGCTGAGCTTCAGCCGAAGGAGAAGGGAGGTAAGTAAGGAGGTCTTTATACCATGGCTCGTACAAAGGAGACTGCCCACAAATCGACCGGTAGTAAAGCACCGAGGAAGAAACTGGCTACAAAAGCCGCTCGCAAGAGTGCGCCCTCTACTGGAGGGGTGAAGAAACCTCATCGTTACAGGCCTGGTACCGTGGCACTCCGTGAAATTAGACGTTATCAGAAGTCCACTGAACTTCTGATTCGCAAACTTCCCTTCCAGAGTCTGGTGCGGGAAATTGCTCAGGACTTCAAAACATATCTGTGCTTCCAGAGTGCAGCTATTGGTGCTTTGCAGGAGGCAACTGAGGCCTATCTGGTTGGCCTTTTTGAAGACACCAACCTGTGTGCTATCCATGCCAAACGTGTAACGATTATGCCAAAAGACATCCAGCTAGCACGCTGCATACGTGGAGAACGTGCTTAAGAATCCACTATGATGGGAAACATTTCATTCTTTAAAAAAAAAAATTCTCTTCCTGTTATTGGTAGTTCTGAACGTTAGATTCCCCCCCACCCGGTGGGGTCAAAAGGTACCTAAGTATATGATTGCAGGTGGAAAAATGGGGGACAGAAATCAGGTATTGGCAGTTTTACCATTTTCATTTGTGTGTGAATTTTTAATATAAATGCAGGGACATAAAGCATTAATGCAAGTCAAAATGTTTCAGTGAACAAGTTTCAGCAGTTCAACTTTATAACAATTATAAATAAACCTGTTAAATTTTTCTGGACAATGCCATCATTTGGATTTTTTTTTAAACAAGTAAAATTCTTATTGATTGAAACTAAATGGTGTTTGTAGCATTTTTATCATACAGTAGATTCCATCCATTCACTATACTTTTGTAACTGAGTTGTCCTATATGCAAGTACATGTTTTTGATGTTGTCTGTCTTCTGTGCTGTTCCTGTAAGTTTGCTATTAAAATACATTAAACTATAAAAAATAAGAAAAAAGAAAAATCTCTCGCCTCTTCGACAGCTCCAGACATTTTCCCAGACTCCCTCCCAGCTACCTGTGGTGCACCTACCCCCTTCAGGCTGTGTTCACACAACCAAACCCAGTCCTCTCCCTGAAATACAACCGAATCCAGAGCCTCAGCTCCCATCACCCACCCGCCCTGGCAGGTGAGCAAACAAGCCTCTAGGGCTGGTGAGTGCTGGTCGGCACCGATCCTCTTTGCGGGAATGTCTCTGCTTTGCCCTCCCTACCCCTGTTGCTGCACTCTCCTCTGTGGCTCCGAAGCTTGCCCCCTCCACCACCCGCAGTCTCCGTGAGTGGAAAGTCTTCCTTTCCTCCTTCACAGCTCCCTCCCACTGGTGCAGGTCCCGTCCCTATTCTTTTGCCTCTGTTTTCTCTTTTTTCTTTTGCCATACCCAGGTTCTTGGGGAGTTTCTCACCTTTTCAGATGTCTGTCTTCTGCCAGCGTTCAGTAGGTGTTCTGTAGGAGTTATTCCACATGTAGATGTATTTCTGATATATTTGTGGGGAGGAAGGTGATCTCCACGTTTTACTCTTTCACCATCTTGAAGCTCCTCCTGAGGGTTGTTTTTAATATAGATATCTGCCACCTCTTTCCTCAATGTATACTGGCTGCTATCCCCTTTATAGGAGGTGTGACTGATGTTGTGATGACCAAAGCCTGCACTGAATATTGAGCAGGGCTTCCCCTTTGCTCTGTGATGTTCACTGCCCTGTCAGAAGTGAGGTCTGCTCCCTAATTCTTGGGTTAGAGGCACCCAGATCTGTTTCTTAGCTTTGTTTTTGTTCTGCAGTGTGATATAGGTGGGATTGGACCACTCCCACTTGGACGGAAGCCACTGAGTCTTCCTCCTCTGGAGGAGTTCACCTGTGTGTGTGCTCTGTGGTGTCACCTTTTACCTGTTGTGCAAGCTCTCAGCTTACACTGTTGTAGGCACTGCTCTCTGTCCCACCTTACCTGTGGATATGCCAGTGGCTGACCCTATTGTCTCTCAGATGTTGTTTTCCCCAAGCCCCAATGTAGATCCACTGAAGTCAGGTCCAAGGATTGCAGTAATTATGGATCTGGACCTGCTTTGGGTGCTATGGGGACAGCTTACTCTCTGGCCTGTCCCAACCCCCACGTTTATGTCCCCACAAAGTCTATAGCTGCTGAAGTTAGACCTGTCTTGGAGCATTTGGTGTCCATTCAGATGTTCTGCATGTGCTGAATTAACCATTCCAGTCACAGGGTCTTAATCCATGGTTTGCACTGCTTCAAGGAGAGATTTCAGCTCTGCTTCCTTAGTCACACATCTCCTGGAGTTCAGCTTTGGTTTCAGCCCCACCTCTCTGTATGGGTCACGCACAGCCGTCTGCTCCCTGCCCAGGCAAGAGGGATCCGATACAGCGACCCCAGGTTCACAGGCCTGTTTCAGAAGGAGGAATTGGGGGTGGTGGCTGACTGGAGTGTGCATACTCATTCAGGTGGGAGGGGGAGACGTTGGCAACGATTGGGGCGCATGCATTTTCTCTGGCAGGAGCCTCTCCTAGTGCCTGTGGAGGTGGGGGCTGGCATGTGGGGAGAGAGTTTTGATGGTGACCCTGCCCTTCATGCATCACTCTGCAATGGCGCTTCACTTCTATGGTAGCCCGGGCTTCCTCCAGGAGCATTCCTGGTTATGGATTTCCTCACTCCTGTCCCCTCAGGCTGTCTCTGTGCAGCCAACAGCAGTTCTCTCCCTGGGTCTGCTCTCCAAACACCACATTCCAGCACCCAGACCCTGTCAGCACTGGCAGACACCCGTCTCAGGCTGGGGTGCACAGGGCTGTGACATTGACTATCTGTGTAAGTCTCACTCTTTCCTCCCTGCCATAGACCAATTGCTGCTCTTTCCTCTGACAGCCCCCAAATCTCCCCTTTTATCTCAGCTGATCTCACCAGTGAGGAGTCTTCTCTGATTGTGAGAACATTTCCTCTCCTTCATCTCCCCACCAGGGGCCCAGGTCCCATCCCATTTCCTGTTTTCTTTATTTTTATTTTCTCTCTTTTGTCCTACCCAGTTATTCGGGGACCTTTTCTTATCCTTTTAGGTGTCTCAGGTCCTCTGTTAGTGTTCAGCAAGTGCTCAGTGAGAATTCTTCTATTTGTAGATGTGTTCTTGATGTACTTGTGGGGAGAGGTAAACTCTGGTCCTCTTATTCTGTCATCTTGGGAAACGTTTAACTTCTCACTTAGTTCATCCAATCTTTCCTTCTGTTCTTTGAATGTCTTTACTATCATTACCTTGAACTCTTTTTCAAGTAGATTGCTTATTTTCACTTTATTTAATTCTTATTCTGGTGTTTTATCTTGTTCCTTTGTTTGGGACATATTCTTCTGTTGCCTTATTTTTTCTAATTTGCTGTTTTTATTTCTATGTATTTGGTAAGTTGGTTACATTTCTTGACTTTTGAATGTGGTCTTTTGTAGGTGATGTCCTATGTGTCACAGCAGCACACTCCCCTCTGGTCACCACAGCTATATGCTCTAGGGATGTCCTCTATTGTGGGCTGCATGGGTCCTTCTCTTTTGGTGGGCTGACTACTGTGGGTGTTATGGTAGGTGTGGCTGGCCTCCAGTCTTGTTGGTTGCCAGGTCTTGCCTTGTGTGGAGGCTTCTGCCATGTGTAGGTAGGCCCAGGTTAAAACATGGCTGACTGCAGAGCCCTGGGTTTTCCTGTGGCTTTCCCACTGGTTGGCAGAGCCAGTTTCCTGGGAGTGTGGTTGCAGGGCTGTGGGTCGTGGATCTACTGGCAGTCTTCTGGTGAGAAGAATTTATACTGTCACTACTTGCAGATGACATGATTTGTATATAGAAAACCCTAAAATCTTCACCAAAAAACCTGTTAGAATAAATTCAACAATGTTACAGCATACAAGATTAATATACAAAAATCTGTTCCTTTTCTATACACTAATAATGAAATAACAGAACTAGAAAGCAAAAAAAAATTCTGTTTAAAATCACATCAAAAATTATAAAATACCTAGAATAAACATAACCAAGGAAGTGAAAGACCTATACACAGAAAACTATAAAACATTGATGAAGGAAATTGAAGATGATACAAAGAAAAGGAAAGTTATGCCCTGCTCTTGGATTGGAAGAATTAATATTGTTGAAATGGCCATACTACCCAAATAAATAGAGAGTTAATGCAATCCCTATAAAAATACCTGTGACATTTTTCACAGAACTAGAACAAATAATCCTAAAATTTATATGGAACAACAAAAGACCTCAAATTGCCAAAGTAATCTTGAAAAAGAAGAACAAAGCTGGAAGTATCACTCTTATAGACTTCAGATTATAATACAAACTCTAGTAATTAAAACAGCACTGTAGAGAGAGAGATTCAAGATAGCAGAAAAGTAGGTGGAAGTGGAGTTCATCTCTCTCCACGGATGCCTCAGGAATATATCTATAGATGCAACAATTCTCACAGAACACTGGCTGAACACTAGCAGAAGACATTGGACACCAGAAAGGACTATAAAGATCCCTGTATAACTGGGTAGGATGGAAAATATGAAGGGAGAAGGAGGAGGAGAGGAAGTTGGATGGGACCTGCACACTGGGGTGGGGGACCTGAAGCAGAGGAGAGATTTCCGAATTCAGGGAAACCCTCTCTCCAACGTGGAAACCCCCTCTCTGATGGGAAAATCGATTGGGACAGAAGGGTAGCATTTGAGGCTGTCAGAAGAGGGTGAAGTGGCCTATCTATAGCAGATGGGACAGATTGAGAAATACACAGATGGTCCGTACTGTGGCCCTACGTGCCTCAGACTGGGACATATGTTCACAGTTGTGCAAAGAGGTTGGGAACTGGTGCATGGGGATTGGAGAACAGACCCAGAGCGAGAAGTGCTGTTGGCTGTGGGGAGACGGATTGAGGGGACAGGAGGGAGGAAATCTACAGCAGGAAATGCCTATGGAGGAAGACTGGACTGCCATGGAAGCAGGGCACTACTGCTGAGTAACATGCAGGGTGAGGAGCCACTATTGTAACCTCTCTCATCCACACACTGGTGCCTGCCAATGACAATAAAAGAAGCCTTCTGTGGGCTGCATCTTGCATGCCAGCTGCCAAGAAATAATAAAAGCCCCCGCAGAGCAGGCCCTCATGTGCCAGCTAAAGGGCAATTTAAAAAAATGTCCTCTCAGGGCTGACCGTTACATGCCTGCTGCTGGGTGCCAGAAAAACCCAGCATGGCTGGGTAAACCCAAAAGATAAACCCAAAAACCATGGCTGGCCCTCATGTGCCTTATGCTGAGCGCTAGAAAAGGCCCTCACTAGGGCCATATATCTTGTGCCCATGGCTGCCTGCTTCCCTGTGCATGTAGCAGCACTGGTGCTCCCATGATCCAAGCAGTCATACCACCTCTGTGCCCAGTACTCACAGGAGCAGGCCGAAGATCTCCAAGGAAGCCTCAGGACCAGACTTCTGTGGGTGGACCACACCAG